TCAACTTCGCTTCGCCCGCGCGGTGCTTGGCCTGAAGCTCCTCGATTTCGGGCGTGAGACGCTCGATCTCCGCTCTTGCCCAGTTGATCGTGTCCACTTTTTTACCGATGAGAAGCTTGAGCCGGTGAGTAGGACGGTCCGAAGGCTTGACCCAGCGAGCCGCGATAGAGCCAGATTCTCCGTCCGACTCCTCGCCCGCAGCATCTCCAGAGATGGGGCCATCTTCCACGTTTCCTTGCTTCTTGAGGGCCTTGAGACGAGCAGCATTTGCCAGCTTGATCAACTTCGTTTCCGCACCCTCTAGCTTCATCGCCGCGTCGTCGCGCGCAGAAACCTTTTCTTCCAATTCGCTGGTATCGGTTGTCAACCAGACATTCTTGACCTTGTTGACGCCGAACATCCGACGAATCTTGTCGCGATCAAGGTAGTCTTGCGTGACGGCGGAAAACAGCACGGTACGCGAAGACAAACGACTGGCGTAAGCGGGAGAAAGAGCGTAGGCCTGGCGCAAGTTGATATAGAAGATACTTTCGCGGGTAATTGTGAAAAACACAAAACCTAGGCAGATTTGAAGTTAGAAAAATCCGCTGGCGTATCTGGCGTATGCTTGTGCTGAACTCACCGATGAAAATCCATGCGACAAAGCAATGCGCAAAGTAACGTCCATAATTGTTTGAGGCGACGTTCGACATGCTCAGGAGATCCAGCTGCTTCTTTCCAGCACCGCCGGTTCCGTTGACCGGCATCAAAATGGGAAACGTGATACAGCAGCCCACAAAGCAGATCATGGAAACAGTCTTCAAGAACCGGAGTAAGAGGTATGCATCCATCGAGTGGTGTTGCAAAACGTATTCGTCGGGTAATTGATACATGTGTTTGATCCAGTTCCACAATCCGGTCGGCGACGCAGGTGTCCGTTCGGAGGGTCGCAAGACGCCTACATAGGTTCGCGGCATGTACATTCGACGCTCACGGCGACGCAGAATGATAAAGATGGAGACCATGGCGACGGCCGCCACCAAGGATGGAACCAATGTGCTGACCAGGCCCGAAGCCGAATTGGAGGCATCTTGAGGATTATCGGTGCTCTGAAAGGAGGTTAACCACGCTCGTTCTCAATGTGGGAAACGCGATACACGATATCGCGAAGTTCAAGAAAACATACTCGCCCGCCTAAATGACGGAGGCCTAAGAGGCCTGCATCGGTTACGGCCATGATGCCCCCCCTATTAGAGCGCGCGCAGTGGGGCGATCGCAATTACAGCCGACAGTGGAAGGCCGCGTGTACAGAGGGTTGGAAGTAGGCTAACACAGGGTCTTCTTCGCTTGATAGATCGAAACGACCACGAATAGAGATAGGTCGCGAATTGAGATGGGATGAAGGCGAGGGAAGAGATGATGAAAAGAAGGAAGATTGGGGGAGGGGGAGGGCCAACAGTATTTGTTTGAAGGAGGGGACAAAGTAAAATGAGATAGACTCAAGGAACCCGAAGCTTAGCGATAGGGGGAGCCACTTCAACACACGCTTTTTTGCGCTGAAATTTTTCTCTTTCCCCGCTCAAGTCGAATCATTCGAGTTTCGACGTAAGGAAAAACAAAAAATAACAAAGCTGTTACTCAGTAGTAGCAAGCCTAACGCATTCCAATTGGTTCCCTAGGAATGAAGAAATTACTTAGCTCTCGCGCACAGATTTCGGTACCGCCGACCGTGGAGGTAGTTAACTAATAGTTAGTATGTTTAAAAGTATAGTCAACGAAGAGGCCTTCAAGGCGTTCGGTGGGCTAAAAGTGAAAAGATATGGCCATGAAGCTGCAGACTAAACCAGCTTTAGCAGGCGCTGTGATTGTCTCTCTCCACCGAGATAGCGAAAGCGAGTGAGGAGCACAACCAGCGATTGCGCAGACATGGATCACCGAAAGTCGATGACGCTGGCTGCTGGGGTTTCCAAGGGGATTTTGACTTTGGGTCCTGAGCAAACTACTGCATAGTAAGTTACTGCGTAGTACACGTAGTGGCGAATGCCGATCATCTCCAGCCTTTCAGCTCGTTCAGCCACACCTCGTCATGATGAGACCAAGCCAAGAGCGCAGTTGAAGAATCACCCGATGTCAAATACGGAGCAGCGGTGATGCGATCCGTATCAGGTGCGAGTTGCAAGTTGCGAGTTGCGAGAAGATTGCACCCAGCACTGTGGCTACCCACCTCCAGGCTGGGCTGCAGAACACAAAACCGCAAACAGATTGAGCGACCCCTCCTCTCTTGTCACAAGAAAAAGGATTCCGAGGCAAGTGGATGAGTGGATGAGTTGTTCCAATAGATCGCCCCTAGCGAGCCGCCTGGTGCGGTGTTAGCTGGTCTAGCGTGTCTCGTTTGATTGTTGGGTAACCTGGGTTGGATGACTTAGGCGCGAAAGGTAAATTGAACCAGTTACTGAATCCCGAGTACAAAGCCAAAGAAGAACCCAAAAACCGCAAAAACAAAAAACAAAAAAAAAAAGGGGGGGGGGTCCGAGAATGGAGGATGGAACAGATGGAACCATGGTGGCGAACCATCTGCAACTTTGGGTCAAGAATTCCGATCGCTGGTCTGATGAAATGCTAGCTAGACTCGATATGGCATTTAGTCCCCTGGTAGCTCCCCACATGCACCGCCGCCCTTGTGGCTGGTGAACCGCTATGGAGTGCACATGCACTGCGTGCCGTGACATGGTGCGGACTTCTCAGGACAAACAATTCCGTCTGTACCATGCGATGAGCTCGCACTACCACGTTAGCCCTATCGCTATAGTCAAAGTGAGTGAGTGCTGGAAGGGGGCGGTCTTGTACGGAAGAACTCCGTAGCAACATCAAGCAGCTCTTCAGCCACAGTTCTGCCGTGCGCCTGACACAGACCGTTTGTCTCATCCGATCGAGGAGTGCAAAAGTTGAGTCTATGACCCAACCCGTCCGTCCTCGATATGATCCTATGATGATACGATCGGACTCGGGGAGGAAAGCTCCATGTAATAAGCATGATGAGCGCAGGCCGGGGACGGGCCACCATGCAACAAATGCCAACCCCCCATATCCCCATTTCCCCATTTACTCGATCTCGCCACCACCAACGCACATCCTATCAATCCTGGTCAATGCTAGCTGGGACTGCTCCCGTGGCTAGCAGGGACAACGTGTCCGTTCGAGATAATGTCGATGTCAACTGTCAAGGACCGGCCCACCATGATGGGTAGATTACCTTCCCGGCTCAAATGATATCAGTGCCATCAGTTTGATCAGACTTTCAGCTGACGTGCTTGGGCCTCCAACCTCCGACATTTCTTGTCACCAGTCAAAACAGATCCTAAACTCAGGCAAAATTGCTAGGATCTTTGTCGCTCAAGTCTAGGCCTTGAAGGGTACCGCTTGTAATGTCGCACACAGCAGAGGGGAAAGACAGAGCTAGACCGCCAACTTTTCCTGTTTAGTCGCGCATCTTGGCCTGCACAAGTTGCTCACAGGCTCACAACTGTCAACAAGTTCCAACAACAGACTTCCTCCGACGGGCCTAGATAATGCACGGACGAGGGTGGGACATGTGGCGGAAAACTTTTTTTTCTCTCCATGGCAGATGTCACGCGGAATTGTAGGGTTTTTCTTGTGCCATCTTCTCCGTCAATTCTTGATTGTTTTCTTCCATTTCCGGGTTTGTTCTTGTGGGCTGTTGGACCAACCTAGCTTGTAGTGGGTGCAGTTGTCCTCCGATGTTCCCCGAGTAATCTAATCAATAGACGTGAAATCTAGTGCCAATATTATCCTCAACTCAAAGGTCGAGAAGTGCTCGTTGATCCATCTGAATCTCGCAGTCAGGGATTGTTCTGCTTTTAGTTGTCACACTGTGTCCGCTTCATTGATCCATGCGAGACCCAGGCTTTGCTTGCTGTTGTATGGTCGCGCTAACTGGTCTTTGTACTGCTGCTGCGCATAATTTCGAGTACTGTACAGACAACGCTGTCTCTAACCGTGACCAGTCAACTACTACTAAGTCACTAGTCTGTGCCTTGCGCCGGCTTTTCAAGGCCACGCCCTGGGTTATATAGATATGAACTCGCCCTCGGCGATGGCTTATGTATATGTGATAGGATCCAGAACGACCACAGGGAGCGAGTCGTCGTCCCAAACCCCCAACATACATAAGTAGGAGTCCGACTCCGAGAGCTGGGATGCAGCAGCGGACAATTAGCTTCATCCTTGGATTTGCGAGATGAAAGATAAACGGGAAAGGACCCCGCTCAAAGTCAGCCCGGGTAGGAATCTCGATCCAATTCGTCAGTTCGACTAGGTTATATTCCAATCAAGGTCAAAGCGTGACTTTCCAGGATTTCTGCTCTCGCGGACCCGCGCGACGGGTAGTTGCAGCAGGGATCTTTGTCCAACAAGCAAAGTTTACTCCGGACAATGCCGATTTGGCTCAGACAAACTCGAGGGCATAGTACTATGGATATCTTAAATGTATGTTTGGTGTGTGTTTTGCAATGTTAGCAATAGAAGAGACAAGAGAAATCAGTAGGGACCACCTGGCACTGGTCTATTGCCGAGAATACGAGACGAGACGATGAGCCATTGGCGGTGGTGGTCCGGCAGTCTGGTTCGGAATCTAGCTTACAGTCACTTGACAACTTGACATGAATATGCGACCCCCTTCTCGGGAGTGCATCCGGCTCCAGTTCCGCCTTCCTACTTAGGTATATCCTCCCAGAAACCTTGAAGGTTCTTGGACTTAAGGTTTGCAGTCAATCTGGAGTATTTATATGTTTATATACTTTGACTGATATGATAACAAGTAGTTGAGATTATAGCTTGACATTCCTCTCCCTAGTATTTGAACTCGCTAAGAAGAACGGATATCGTATAAGAAAGGTGATCTCATAATTGAGAATAAAATCCTAATTTGTTAAGGAGGAAGTAATTGGATAGACGGTACACGGACGTGGCGTTTTGAACCAGACATGGGTTTGCATATCCCATGTTCTCCCACTCTATCGGTCTGACGGGCAACGCAAATTTTGACTCCAGCACTACGTCATAGGCGATCCTTCTAAATACCTATATCCCTGCACAGTATTCAATCAATCCTTGAGGTTGGGTAAAGCTGCACTGGGGCGAGGCCATCAATGGCAGGACAGTGTGTGCTACTTAGTAAACATAGTTAATGTATCGATCCTGAGAAATGTGCTCTCCGAAATGTGCTCTCCGAAATGTACCCAAACAAGCCCAGCAGTTAACACCGGTATACCAACAGTCCATCTCTGCCCCAGCGTTACAGAAGACCTAAGAAACAAGTTGGAGTGAAAAATCTCAGCATTCAGAGAGCGAGTAGTCTTCTTTCAAACTCCCCTACTTCTAAAGCAGGACTCTCGAGCATGAGAAAGCTGAAAAGAATATTGCCGTACTCAACTCGTAAATCAGGTGGTAGTTTTTTGATCATCTTCAGAAGCTCTCCCATCCGCCACGCCCGTTCTGAGTCTCGTAACCTCGGGCTACATCGTTCCTCAAGAAGGAGCCATACGAATGTTTCACATGCGGGGTTTCTATCGAGCTTATACTGCGCGACAAGCTCATTGAGGTGAGCAAGGAATAGACGGGTTTTGTCGGGTTCATACTGGAAATCCCACAATGCGCTTGTGATGTGTATCAAACACGCAGTGCGGCTAACCTCATGACTGGGTATATTCAAGTTCACGACATATTTGTGTAAGTCCTGTGGAACGGTGGATGGCCAAGGCCCAGGGCAAAGTGAGCAGAAGAGCGGACTGGCCATCTGAAACGCCGTACGCCTCTGAGGCACCGAGGTCAAGTATGCAGCTGTGCTGTGTTTGAGCTTCAATTCTTTCGCACCTCGAAGAAAATGGACTAGCATTAGTCTGTCACTATGGCCCAACGAGAATTCTCGGGGCATCTTCAAATACTGCACATAATGCAGGAACACTTCAGCAATGCTCATAGAATCCTGCCAAGGGCCCATGCGCAGAAGTCCAAGTGCCTGGTCTTCGTACTCTATAGCAGCGGACTCATTATCACCGAAGCGATTCTCATGGAGAGACATTCCGGCAAGGGCCATGGCAAGAAAATCATCGCTCTGTTCCTCTCTTGCCTTTTGGATCATTGCGGAGGCCCTGATTAAATGATGTTCGGCTTCAGGGCTGGATTCGAGACCATTCAGTCGGGCCCGCCAGCGAGCGCAATAAGCAAGAATGACCGCTTGGAAACACACCGGATGGGCTATGGCTGCTTTATAGATTTGGCGCTTGATGTACTGGTTCTGTCCTGACCAATAACTTAACTTGCTCACCCATGCATCAGCCAGCTCTTGGTCGGCTACAGAGGTGACAGCTGGCAAACTGTCAAAAGGATCTTTCCTCGACGAGTCTAGAATCGTAGCGGGCGACGGAGGAGACCAAGAATCATCTGCGCGAGGTGAGGTTGGTGTTGGTACAGGAGGTCTGGCTGAGTGCTATGTATCACGGGAATGTCAGCACAATGAGTAATCATTACCAGCAGCGTGTCTAGCTAGGCTATGACTGGTAGGGAAAAGCCTTCGAGTCAAAGCGTCGAGGCAAGTAATACAGCCCGCCAGCCTATGCAGGTTGTTACGGAGCTTACATTATGATTATAAGGCTGGGTAGTCATTCGCTGGAGATATCTTTTTTGATTATGCTGGCGCATGACGTGCGACCTCCGTGCACGGGGGCTGAGGTTTTTATCAACGAACAAGTAGGTTGTCTGCATTGCGGAAGACTGGTCCTGAAGTGCAGGTATATGACTTTGTTGGCCGATGCTAGCGTCGGTGCTAACAGGAACTCGAGGGGTAATATTGGACGTTTCTGTCAAAAGAAATGGAGTGAGCTCTTGGTCAGTCGGGAGGTGCACGGCACACCCGCGCCAGCAAAGGGAGAAAAGACATCGAAAAGACCAACGTTGTTGTGCTGATCGAGAAGGATCCTCCGCCTCCAGGACAGGTTCAGTGTGGTTTGTCGAATTGGCCATTGAATGTGTGCGTGCCAGTTGCCAGGAACAAGTAACCATGCCAGCACTTGCTGTTATTCAGCAAGTGAAGACAGTAAGTGGAAATAAGAGGAAGAGAAAGCATATGTTAACAACGCATTCCGAACAGGAGAAGAATTGTTGCAGGCCGTGAAAAGAAAGGTCATTGCCTACAAGGCTATGAGAAAAGTGGGTGTATAGCTTGTCAGGCCACGAGGAGGGAAAAGGGCCGAGTTGTCTATCCGGGCTGGGACTTTGGAGGTAGTTACGGAAGCAGGGGATTTGATGGGATGTGGTCGAAGGGGAGAGGGTGAGGAGGGATGGAGGGAGTGTGGTGGAAGTGTGGGTTGTGGTGGAAAGAAGGGAGGGATGAAAGAAGAAGAAGAAGAAGAAGAAGAAGAAGAAGAAGGAGAAGAAGAAGAAGAAGG